AGAGAGAGAGAGAGAGAGAGAGAGAGAGAGAGAGAGAGAGAGAGAGAGAGAGCTCCACATAAGAATCCTTCTATTGCCTTGGGCTCCGTCTTGTTTCTGCACTCCCTGCTGCACTGAAACTGCTTTTACAGTGGTCATTAATTATCTTCTTCTTAACAAATCTGACAGCTCTTTTAATCCTTTATTTTCTTATTCTCTTCCCAGTTTTTAACTCACAACTGGTCACTCTCCTTTGTTGATAAATGCATTCTTTGGTTTCTGTGATATCATACTACTCTAGATTTGTCCTGAAAACTCCTCTTTCACAGTATTTCTCCTAAATTTTTATGTTCTTCAGTCACTCATCTTGAGCTATGTCTCTTCCTGGACATCTTATTTCTAGTTAAGTGTTTATGAAAACTGACCACCTATACTTTGAAGACAAATCTCTCATTCCATCTTTTTCCCTTTCTTTTTCTCGCTTTCCATATACTTTCTTTTTTGGTACTGGGGATCAAACTCGGGCCTTTGCCCTTACAAGGCAGGTGGCAGAACCACTGAGCCAAATCCCCAGCCCCTCCATATACATTTGATCAACAAGTTCTAATTGTTCTTTCTCCAAAAGGCCTAAAACATGTCCCCTCCCCTCCACCTCTAATTCCTCTTCCTAATAATCTTTCACCTGAACTCCTGCAGTTGCCTCCTGACTGTTCTCCCTGCTTCCACTCTTGCTACACTATGAACCAGTCTAGTCACAAAACCAGTTGAAAATGTTAACACAGCTATGCTGACTTTTAAAACTATGAACTCCTTAATATGAAATCGGTGGCCCCTATAACCTAACTTCTTGGCCTCAGCTCATCCTGACAATTTTCTCTCCCACCATGTTCTAGCTTTCCTGAATGTTTTAAACATGATTATTAGACCAGTCTTAACTTTCAGCTATCTTCCTGCCATACTCAATGTTCCCATCACAACTGTAATCCCTGCCTTTCTTCAGTAAGGACATGAGCACTGCCTCAAGTGGTTTCCTTCCTTACTCAGCTCTTTCCAGCACATTCTGCTGGTTCTAGCTCAGAGAGTACGTTACTGGGATGCCTTCATTATGGACTTTGAGATCTGGTGGGATTCTCTGTGTCCCCATAGCTCCTGTGTATCTGGTATCCAAGTTCAATTGCATATAATTTTGCTTATCAGCAAGGGCAGGAGAAAGAGAAACAAGATCTATGGAGATCACACACTGGTAGCCAGAGCTTGGCCCATAACAAATACTCAGGAGATGTTTTGAATGACTCAATAAAGGCTGATATAAAAACTCACTGTTTCACCCTCAATAGTTCATTGTATATCAATGCCTACATATGGTTGGAGAACTATTTCCAGCTTTCATTAAAAATATGGATTTAATTATTGTTAACAAATTGCTTAGTTTTTTTCTCAAAGTCTTGAATTAAAAACTCTATTATGTGCAATGTTATATAAGAGTGCCTGGACTGAATAAACTCTATTTGCATTTTACAGTCAGAGATTTTAATGTCCAGATGGATAAAACTACATGAGCAACACCCTTCTCAGAATTCATTCTCAAGGAGTTTTGCTTCTTATTTCATTATTTATACTATTTTATGTGGCTAATTATAGACAGAAAAATTTTTGTTTAATATATTGAAAGAGTTTTTTAAAATAAGATTTGTCCAAAAAAAAGGGAAGGCTTAGAAGTTTTTTAAGTCTTTTGTCAGGCTCTAATGAAAAGATCTTTCTCAGAGATCTGCACTTTTAAAACTCAATTACTTATTAAATGGGTGAGCTATGTTAACCCTAGTGTCACTTAGCAATCTAATCACCTATATTCTTATATAAAATATTCATGAGATGAGTAATTTTATTACCCTTTCTCCTCCCTACCTTCACATGATTCACAAACTTCTCTTTATTTTTTTATTTATAATTGACTGACATACAATTTTTATATGACTAACTTATACAAATACATACTGTATTTACTTAGAAAATGAGCAGGAAAATTTGTTGGATTTCTAAAATGTGCAGAAATGGATCTAAGAAGCTTCCTTCCAAGTAAGTAGTATTTAAATTCTACATACATTTTGAAGCACTTTTAATCACATGATAAATAACTATGAATTCAGCTCCTTTCAATATATTTCATTTAGGAAGTAAAATTTGCACCTGAGTAATTCCACCAGAAGACCAATCATATATTACACTAATATTCTGTTTTCACTATTCATAGTATATACTTGAGAATTCAGCACGTTACTGAGGATTCTATTATTTTAAGGCATTTTGTTAAAATGAAAAATTTTTTGACGCAAAATATTTTCAGAGTTCAAACCCTCCATACATGAAGTACAAGAAACTTCACTCCTAGTCGGAAGTTATGAGACCAGAAGAGTTAAAAATACTCATAAAGCAGCCAATTAAATTTAAGTTTTACCACAACTAAAAATACAGCCATTTGTATGAGAACTGAATTAGGAAGTATACTGCCTGAAAAAGATAGCAAGCCATTCAGATGAATTTACTCCCCTCAAAGAATTCCCAAGTCGAAGATTTCTATTAAAATAACCATGAATTTCCAACCTAGTACCATGTGAGTCTTCAGTTCTGGCTACACCTCCTTGGATGGTTAGAGCCTCTGGCCTGAGTGCTCCTGCGCTGAAGAACCAAATGTCCAAAAGTGCTTGCAAAGCTACTGTGTGGTAGTGAGAATGAGGCAAGAGTGGCGGGTGAAACAGACACTGAGACCCACAGTTCAGCATTTTAAATGCATTGAGGCTGCTGAGCTACAAAGGTGCATCGAAGGAGAAAGATGTAACAGGTGCATTGGGAGCAGCTTCCTTTTCTGCCAATTATTCGCACTGAATAGCATCATTGGAGCTTGCATTTCTTACTACCTACTTTGTAGACTCACCATGAAGAAAAGATCAAGAAAAGAGAGTTCAGTTTTATGGAAGGCTGCTTGATAAAAGACAAAAGCACTTCATACTTGCATTACATTCATGAACTAATTTTATTTTTGTGATAATTTTGTGAAATAGACATTATTGTATCCACTTTATAGACAGTGACACTGAGGTTTAGAGATTTTAAGTACAGTAAAACTAAAAACTATTAAGTGTAGCACTGGGATTAAGACATAGGGCTATTAGATTCCAGATACTCTTCATTCCTCTGTGCACTTCTCACAACACTTCAGAATGTCCCCATGTGTGATTGGTATTCACTGCCTATCTGCCCAGAAGATAGGAGAGACCGAAAAACTGAAGGACTTACATCATGAAATTCAGTGGCTTAGGGGACAAGGGTGTTTAAAATAAATCTTATGAGAGCATCTAGATACTCATGGGCCAACATGAAACTCATGAGATACTCAAGAAAAAAATTACAAGTAAAAATGAGTTTCAAACAAATTTCATTGTACAACTTGACCTCTAAACATAATTACTCTTCTAAATATGATCTACCTCCAAAAATCTCATGAACCTTGGGGGAAAAGGAATTCTCTTACCAACAATTTCCAACAGCTAATTTTAGGCCACTCAACACAGTGACATCTTCCCTCAATCTGTAGTTTTTATTCATTCCTATATAATGGGAATGAGTGGAACAGAAACACATGCAATAAATCTTGCCTACCACTTTCCATCTCGCTGGATTGCAAAAGTTATTTTAGGTTACTTCTTCTAAAGTTCTAATAATAGAAAAGAACGAGTCAAGTATTTTATGGAAATGTTTTTCGAAAGCAACCTTAACACAGTATACTGTTAAGGCTCAGAACTGCACAAATGGTCTCTTCAAAACTGACAGGATCCAGCTAATTTTTAGAAAATAAAAGCTATTTGAACTTTTCCATGTTCTGAGTTATTTTTTAACCTCTTTAGCTAATCTTTCTTCATTGTGTTAGGATCTTATTAATGCCAAAGGCTGTTCCTGCAGCACTAACTTTTTGGCTGACTCAAAACAACCAAGAGAAAGATCTTGCTTGCATCCAGTGCCATTTTGATAATATTCAGTTGTTGAAAACAAGAAAATAAAAAATCCAAATGGCAATAAACACATTAACTATTTTTTAAAAGGAAAATATAATTATTTGTCTGTGAGAATACACAGTCAACTTGTCAATTTTGATCTCATGAAATTTAATGACACAAAAAGAAATGAGGTCTCAAAGCCAGCACCTCTCACAAAAGATTGTTTTTCTTTTTTTGAGGGAGGGATATGGGGATCAAACTCAGGATCTTGCACTTGTGAGGAAGGTGGCAACACCACTGAGCTAAATTTCTGGCCCCCAATATTTTCTAAATGATAAATACACTTACTTATATTGTTTATGTGAAGTGTAACCTGACATATTACCCTACAATTGAAATTCTCAAAATCCAAAATAAATCAGAGACTGAGAAAATGATGGGTACAGTAGTACTAAACTTATTATATGAGCACGTGCACATAGGATAAACTAGATACTAACAGATAAATGGGTAAACATTTTGTTGCTGAAAGGAACACACAACACACACAAAAAAAAGCAATTTGGTGATTTGTACCAAGAGCTGCAAAACTGTGTGTCATTTTTACCCATTTTTAATTTATTCCTACTAATCTCCTAAGAAGTTATCCATATGGTGCTGGGGATGTAGCTCAGTGGCCCTGTGCCTGCCTAGCAAGTACAAGTCCTGAGTTCAATCACCAGTACCACAAATTAAAAAAAAAAAAAAGAAAGAAAGAAAAAGAAGTTACTCACACGGACATGGAAAATCTTAAGCAGCTGAACTACATTTGGTTTTAACACTGAAAAATGAGAAGTAATCAAATTGCTTTTTGAGAATAATCTTGTGCTGGGGATTTGGCTCAGTGGTTCCATCACCTGCCTTGCAAGCACAGGACCCAAGTTTGATCCCCAGTACCAAAAAAAAAAAAGAATGAGAATAATCTTGTAAACTATGAAATGCTCCCTTGTGGAATAATATAGTCATTAAAACGATGTAACTATGAATAATTATAAATTTATAATTATAAATTATAATGCTATATGTGACTAAGATAATTATATAAAATGCTTACTAGAATAGTATACACATATAAACCATGTATGCACACACAGTATGATTGTTTTTGGTTAAAACCATAGATATACACATAACAAAATCTTTAAAATGATCTATCAAAATACTAATAGTAGAAATACTGAAATAAGGAGATGTGGACTATAGTTCTTTATCTTTTTAATATTTATTTCAGTATATCTCAAGTATATTTACTATTTACTATAAATTTTACAAATTTAAAGCAGTAAAAATAAAATGTGAAAGATCATAGAAAGATAGCTTTACATTCAAACCAGACACAAATGGAATGTAATTATATTTTAGTGTTATTTTCATATAGTTCTATATGATGTGGTAAAGCTTTGAGAATATTTTACTGCTTTCTGTTTCTTTTCAAAGCCTTACTTTGGAGGAAGTGTTACAGTGGGCCCAATCTTTTGAAAATTTGATGACTACAAAATGTGAGTATTATGTATTGCCATCTTTGATAACTAGCCAGTTTTATTCTTAGTGGGGAAGGAATGGTATATAATGAATAAAGGCTGCTCCTCTTACCAATTTGTAAATGGTAACCGACACAGTTAAAAAAAGAAAACCTGAAAATAGTTTTTCATTTCAACCAATGTTATTTTCTCTGCTGTTAATTAAAACAAGATTAGTCACTGTGGATATTTATTCTTCACAAGTATATGTATAAAATGTCTTGGAAAATACGCTGAAATAGTAACACATACTGAAATATACTGTCTTACCACAGCCTCCTAAATTTAGTGTTTTTCAAAAAGTTAACAATTTGCTGCTCTAAGTACTTTCAAAATAAGAATAAATTTGAGCCTTGACATACAACTCTTCAAAGCTTATCAGTGTCTGAATTTAAGGGGTATGATGTAAGATTCTGATTTTAAGTATCAACATTCAGGTGATATAAATGAAAAATAATAGCAATGGATATGAAAAGAGAAATTCAAGGCTCAGTACAGGAAATATGAGGATGATGTGCACTCAAGGGAAATGTCAACTGTGTTTAGGGTAGGAAACTGGCAGCTTGTAGAAAATGATAAAATCAGAAGAAAAGAACAAAAAAATACATAGTGGAAACTCAGAAAATTCTCTTACTGAATTTGGTACTGTTTTGAAAAGTAGAATTGGTTCCTTCAAATGTCTGTTAATTTTTTGCCTATAGACCTGTCTTTTTATTTAGAATGACTTTTAGGCTCTCTGTGAAGGTTTAATCTCTTCGGAGATACAGAATGCAGAGGAGAGTTAGTTATACTATTTAGATGTTTCAGCCAGTGGTTGTCAGAGGGGTTATGCTGGACAGAATACCCCCTTCGTGGGACTGCTGCACTCTGAGAACACTATTTGCTCTCCCTGACTAAAGGACCCTATTTGATATGAACACGCTGTCACTGCAACGCCCAAAGGGCAATGGTGGGAGCTGTGGATCCTTGACTACTTCTGTTGAAACGCCTCAACCAGTAGTTCTAGCATATACTCCATGGCCCCTCCCCTAGTGCAAGGAAGATCTCCACTTCCAGGCCTGGGGCATCCCCTGAGCTCCTACCTCCTGTAGCGGCCCTTTCCAATGAACACCTGGAGTCATGGGAGGTATTATGCAATTTAAAACTATCCCTTTTGTTTTTGCCCATTCTTTATAGCTTTGTGATCCATTTTGCCAGCATCTCTGTTATTTTTTTTTCTAATTATCTTTCAGGTAAGTTTTAGGAAATTTAAGTGAAAGGAAATACAAAAGTGTATGTGTAGCTAATGATGTTGCTTCTTCCTAATAGTTTGCATTTCAGTCCCGACACTCTTTAATACATGATTGCAACATTGCCAGATTAATCTTCCCTCACTCTTCACTTGTGAAGCAGGAATAATAACAGCTTTCTGTTGAGCATTACTCTACAGGTTGTATGTAGAACAGCTACTTCAGTTCCTGTTACAAACTAGGCACACGAAGTTGGTATTTATATTAGTAATAAAGTGTATACCTATAAATAGCACTCTTTTTATCTTTGCTCCATATCCAAAAGTTCAAAATGTTGGTATTCAGGACTCCCTACACTCTAGCACAGCACATTTTCCAAAATTTGTCTCCATTTATGACCTTTCACATTGCATGCCCTCCACCAATGTGACTACTGCTCCATTTTGTACTTGTACATCTATAACTCTCCTGCTGCAGGCTTTTGTACAAAGTCCTTTTTATGGCCTCCATCTATTCACCTTTGAAGGGAAAATTCAAATTCTGCTTTTCCTTGAAACTTTTGGAAATATTTTTCCTCCTTCTATTTTATTAGTGTTATTATTTATTCTGCTGTTAATTGTAGGTAGCTTGTGTAATGGGGTTTTTCCACAGCAGCCTGCTTAGTAAATTATAAATTCCTTAAAAATAAATTGCCTTCTATTCACTTGTCATCACACTGAGAAATTAAAAATATGGTTTGTACCTAGTGGTCATGCAATAAATGTCAGTGAATAAACAACATAAATATTAGTAAGGAAAATCAAAATAACACATCATATTATGTAAATTTATGTGCCAGTACTAAAGATCTCACAAACAAGGTGAATAGAGTTAATTATTTGGTAAGAATTTCAAGTGGATACTTGCCTTGTTAGATTAGCTATTTAGAGATATGGTTCATGAGAATAAGCAAATTCTATAGAAAGGATTACAGCAGGCAGAAATCATACTGCTCTTTATAAAATCCAGCAAAAAAGGGGTAAAAATTTTGCCAGAAATCAAGGTAGCATGAAGTTCATAAGAAAACTGACAATTGCATAACAAAACAGTGATAAAGCAAATCATTCTATAATCCAGCCAACCAGAAAGTGAATACTATAAATACAAATACTATATGTTCTAGAGAATAAAAATGCTTTTACATTAACAAGGACCCTAGTAAAAACATCCTTTAAGCTATTATACACAAAGAACTATCTTTTCATAGATTAACATACTGATCCTAAGAACATGTAGTTCAGAACTTCATGAGGAGAGAATATATTAGTCTGGACCTCAATAAGTGAGGATATAGAGGTTTAGATATGTGATGAGGAGATATGAAACAGTGAATACCACAGCCAACACAATACAACGCAACTCAAAGTCTTTGTGGAAAAGAAATCTAAGAAAATTATCAATTTGAGAACAGAATTATGGCAAAGTTCAGACTTCAGTTAGAAAGTAAGAATGTATAATCTAGACATATTCTAGGTGTTATCCAATGATTCACTTTTGATAAACAAGTATTTTTAAAATGTTAAAGATTTTTTAAACTGTGCATCTTTCAATGTATATTCAATAAATATGAATTAAGTACTTATGTAACAGGCAATATGCATTAGGGGAAAAAATCCCATGTACCAACGTGGCATATAAAATACCACTGAAAAAAATAAGAGTTTTCAAAACCTGAAAATCCCCTAGAAAAGAGCAAAGGGAATTCCCATTTGTGGCACATTGGATAACATACAAAATACTGATTAAGTCAGCTTATAGTAGCACCCTGAACAAAATTCAAAGGCAAGGCAAACACATTATATTTTTAAAATAATACTGTTTGACAAAAGTTTTCACCTGAGGCTGTATGAGTCTGACAAATGGAACAGAATAGAGAACTCAAAAATGATACATTTTATGTTTAACTGATTTTCAACAAAGGCAGTAAATACACTGAAGAAAGTAAAGTCTTTAATAAACTATGCTGGGAAAATCTAAATATCCATATGCAGAAAAAAAGAAACTATACCCCAATCTGTCACCATACTAAAAAAATCAACTAAAAATGGACCACAACTTAAATGTAAGGATATGAATCAACTGGAAAAAACTATGAATCAACTGGAAAAAACTATGAATCAACTGGAAAAAATAGGGGAGTTGTGATATTAGAAAAGACCAGTTGATGACCAGGTATTATTAAATACCCATTTAAAACCCAGAGTGATGATTTCAAGTCTAGAAGTATGGTTGTGTGTTTTTCTATGATCTCTTCAGGATGCTCCAGAAGAGCAGAGCAAAGATACAATTAAGGCACTCATGATAGACAAATGTCTGGATCAGTCTTGTAACTTTGGTCAACATCAACCTTAAATGTGCAGTACACTTTTCTCCCTAAGTTATCATGATCATGTTCCTAAAATCTTGGAAACTGTGAGTTGTACAGTGTAGGATTACCACACTGCTGAAAGCAGTGAGAGTTGCTCCATACTGACGAATCATCTGTGCTGTCTGATACATCTTTATCTGCACAGAGGCAGAGAAGACACTGATGCAAATTGCTACTCATCTAGAGGCAGAACTATTATCTCAGCTCTCTTCACTGTGAGAGATTCTTTGCTCCTCACTCTGCACTGGCAGCTTCTTGTATTATCATTTATTCTAATTTGTGCTAACCACTGCTGTCTCCATAGCTAGGCTCATCAACTCTTCTATTACCACATTGCCTTGCCTTGGCCCTTTCAATTTAGTAATTTTGTCATTTTAAATTTCTCACACTCTTCTTTACCTTGCTGGAGAAAAGGAAAAGCTTAGCCTTTTATAAACATCACCATTCAGTTAGTACTTTTTTCTCACTCTCAGAAAACAGAAAAACAATAGCATGCCAAGTATAATCTTTTCATCTTTACTGGTGAATGGTGAATGATTACAGTCTATTTCTTCAACTTTTAAGACCTATAAAGAGTCTGTTTAAAATGCAGAACCATGCAGGATACAAAAGCAGAGCCTGATAAATAAGCTGAAGCTTTTTCCTACAAGATGGCTCACAAATACACCTCAAAAGTCATTGTTGGGCAACCTACTTTCTGGGTCCTCTCCTAACTCTTAGGAGCTGTCTCTTCTTCAATAAATTTGTTATGGCTTATATCTAGATCCCCCCCCAGTCTCATGTGCTTATAGGTAAGGCTTTGGGGAGTGACTGGATCATAGGATGTGTGATGCTAGATTACCCCACAGATTTCTTCAGCATGGCTCTGGGTGTAGGTGACAGATTTACTAAAGAGGGCAGCACCAATCAATAGGCTTTATAGCCTAGGGAAGAGAAAGAAAAAGAAGAAAGAAGTCACAACTTCTTGTCTGCCATGGCACGAGCAGTTTCTCCTCTGCCATGCTCTTCGGACATGCTGACCTCCCATAGGGCTGGCAAACTATGTACTGAAACCTCTACAAACCTGAGCTAAAATAAATTTTCCTCCTTTGACTTGTGGATGGTGGGTATTTTGTCCCAGCAACAAAAAAGTAACTATGACAGTCATAAACAAAAAATAATGTTTAAAAAGAGAACAGAAGAGAATGAAATAAATATAAACAAAATGGTATCTTTAATTTACAAAAAAAAAAACTTCAAAAGAGAAACTAACAATAAAAAAGAAAAATGGATGGAAGATCTGATGTTACATAAAAAAGAGTCTGTGAAAAAGGTAAATGTTCAAGAATTAATATTTTAAACAT